ACTGCCGCGGTTTCAAGTTGAAAACAAAGAAAGGGTGCGACACGGTGATCTCAATGTTTCCAGGAGGATTAATTCACGGAATCTTTGTCATAAATTCTCATCCGCGTGGGACATTCTGGCGAGGAATATTCTGGACCCGCGGCTCGTTGCAGCCGGGCCTTTCTGGCACGCGCCTCGAAAATGGCGTCGCGCGGTGACGTCACGTAATCCACGCTCGGTGCACCGTTTCCACCGGTGAGAGCAAAAGGGAAGAGAATGGAAAAGAGGGACACCAGGGTAGCCGGGGATGGCTAGCGAGCCTCGATTGGTCAGCCAGTTGGATGGAGGGAGTGGTCGAAAGCCGACGGTTATATCGATCTCTCGAAGTCGGCTCGTTCGTAGCCGGAGACAGTCCGGTGAACCGGAGTTTCCTTCGCGGCGAACGCGTGTCCTCTTCGTCCTTTAACCCTTGACCCGCTTCTCTTCGTGATCCTCTGCGTCCCCGAGACACCGCGCCGTACAATATACATACACTCTTCACTGGCAAGCTTGAAAACGTCTCATTGTTAACTATCGTACATCAGTCGTTAGCAAATCGAAGTATTAACTCTACTTTTGAAATTTCTTACAATTTTCGTGCCAAAGCACTTGGTCTACTTTTCGTTTTGTAAAGTTCATTGATTTAGCGAACAAGTGAAATTTTGTTTAAATGTCATTATTAACGAGAAGAGGAACGCGAAGTTATCGATTCTCATTTCATTCAGGATTTTGTTTTTTATATTTTACTTAAATATTTTAGTATTTATAATATTAATCTTATAGTGACAGTATAAGGTAGTAAATTAAGAGTTTATACTTGAAAATTAATTGTTTGTATCCTTAATTATAGGTGTAGTATGTCATTCAGGTTTTTTTTTATATTTTACTTAAATATTTTAGTATTTATAATATTAGTATTATAGTGACAGTATAAGGTAGTAAATTAAGAGCTTATAATTGAAAATTAATTGTTTGTATCCTTAATTATAGATTTTAGTATGTCTGACTATACACGTCCCTTTTCACTGCGCTATTAAAACTCTTGAATAATTAACCAAATTTTTATCATAAGATATACGATACATCGATAATTAAATTCTTTTTTCCAATTTTTTCGGTTGAGTATAGGAACTTCTCACTTACCTCGTTGACTGTCACCGTAGGAAGAACCGTACCTGGTACGGCACACATGAATTATTCACAGACTGACAGCCGCAGTGAAAAACACTGTGTTTAATACGGCACGGTTCTGCAGTAAAACACTTTTCCATTATTAATCTACCTTTCTTTTTCTTGGTATTTTCAGTACATTCCTTTTTATTCGGAATGTATAAAAATTGTTGAAATACCAAATCTTTATATGAAATTGAAAAGATTTACTTTCTTACGATATTTATGAATTACAGTAACATATAGGAAAAATGATAAACAAATGATAGTTTGATGTATTACCTAAAACACAGATGCAAAGAGGGTTGAAAAACTTTTAATTTCCTTCGATACATGCATGACCCTTTTTCTCTCATACGAATTCTCGAAAAGGCCGTGACAATAGAATAGGGAAAGGTTGAAAACACAAAGATTTGGTAGCTTAATTTCCAATTAATACACGCTCGTGCATACGAGCTTCGAGACAGGGTGAATCAAAGTGGGGACTCTCCTTTACCACGAGTATATTGGATTTCGAGGCTACGAAGGGTTTGACCCCCATTGATAAGGGTCATCTCGATGCTTTCGATATGTATCCCTCGACAACGAGTAGGGTCGACGGATCATAGGGGGTCGTGTCCTTCGCTTTTTAAAGCGGGGGTGTTCGATTTAATTTAATCCGGATGCCCGACTCTCGTCTTTTGTCGTTGAATTTGCCACCCAATGGTAATATCAAACGAAAGCAATGAGAATATACGTTGTTTTTGAGATAATTTCTGCACGTTTATTTCTTTTTGAGAAAATGATTTATTTATTTATTTGCTTCAAATACATAAAATAAAATCATTTATTCGCTGATTTTAAGACAATTAAGTCTACGGTGAAACACAAAGAGGAGAATCGCAAAATTCACAAGCTAAACGCGTTTCGCCCCCGAATTTCCTTCGACTTTGTACGTTGTTTCTTTGCTGAAAGGACCAAAGGGAATTCCTCTTTGTACCATCTTGCTTTCGCTCTTTGATATCGCGATATTGAATGCTGAAACATTCATAACAGGTGCGTTCGTCCGTAACTTTGTATTCATCGACTTGTGTGCGTCTGAGGTTTCAAACGGAAACACGCTGCCGCGTATTCTTCAGTCGAACAATAAAGCTGGAAACATTCAGCAATAACTATTATCCGAAGAAAATTCTGTATTTGAGAGGAAAACGTTTCATTTTAATAAATCAATATTCTTGATTTCAGAAAAAAAAATATATGAAACGAATTTCACATGAATTATTATTATAATTATTCAAAATTGTTAAATTTCATTTTGAGGCAAATTTCCTTCAATTATTGCTCGATATCCTCGACTTGTGGTCTAGCTCACGCGCGATCATAATCTCCGTGAGAGAGCATCCTAATTCGATACGAAGGACCGTAACCACCGAATAATGTACCATAAGTGTCAAGACGATTTATGCGAGCCACGTACGTGGCTATAACGTTTTCACGGCCGAGTATGCCAAGCCAATATGCTGGAACAAAATGGACGGGGGTGTTGCTGGTAAATGGTGTGTCGGATAGCGCGGACAATATTGCCCAGTATTCGCCAGCTTTCCGAGTCACCCTCTCGTATTTACGCGGAAGAACCCGCGTCGATTATGGCCAAGGGGTTTCTCCACTTCTCTCTTGGATCGACCGTATTACATGGTATTTGTTAGCCACACCATTGGAACGGTTAATCGCTATATTTGATCCCTGATGATGTGTAATCAATTCAATTTGAGAAATTAATTAATTTTCCTGCTTTTATTAATATTTTTCTTATAGGGGTGATTGTACACGCTGAGAGGTTTTATTATGTTTATGGGGAATTTTAGGGATTCATAATTTAATAATTTGAGATTGATTAATTTTCAAATCAAAGCTTTTAATTTGCTATCTTAAATTATTAATAGGTATAATAATAACGCCATTCAGTGTTTACTTATTGTTTCTTTTTTATTAATTAATTATACAAAATTTGAGATGCGAGCTGTAACCCCTAAATTAAATGGAAAATTAAAAATTTCAAAGTTTCTAATTATCCGATAGTTTAAATTTTCAAATTGATCTTATCAAAGGCACGAATACTGTCGCGAAGCTGACGTCTTGGTTCCTTCTCACGCCGTGTCCCAGCATCATTTTCCAACCGAGCGGGTTTCTATCAAATAGAAACGCGTTCCCGGTGTACGTCGGCGAGATGAAATCTTTTGTGCTTCCGCCCGTGTTTCTTTCGGTGTGCATGCGCCAATATGGCAACGCACAGGGCTGACTTTGAAGCAGGTAGATCCACGTGCTGACACGTGTGCGCCGACAGATACGAACTTAATCGGCCGTGTCGTACACCACGTGCCATGAATTTAAGTACTCGAAAACGTCCGTCTTTTTCCTTGTCACGGCCTGAAATTACAACGATACGCGAATATATGTATATACCACGAGGACGTGTTACATCGGACGTTGTCGATGCTGACGTTGACGACGAGCAGGATAGTCGGCGTGATCATTCGAGTCACGAACGATCGACGTTAAACGAGGCCTTTCGTGAAGGATACTATTTCCTTGCCTGCCACGATGACGCTGGAAAATGTATGACAAGATCAAAGGAATTGACGAAGGTCTGTGTATATGTGTAAAAAGTGTTAATTACAGATGGAGAAAAATGGAGAGATACTGGAAAAACGTGAAAAATTTCTGACGAGGAAAAATGAGAGAGTGAGGACATAGAAATAATCCATAATTTATCGTTTCATATCAAACTTTAATTTAATGTATAATTTTTCAATTGAGAATTGAAGATATTTCTTTTCTGAAATATTTTTTCAATTGCAAGAATTGTGGACCAAGATGATTAATAGGATCACTTTTCTGAACTGAAGTGCTTGAACTTGTTATTATTTTAATCAATAATTTCACAGGAGAACTGCATCATTTCTTTAAGAAATGCTACTTATTAATTAAAATTTTCACAAATTTCCTCTTCTCTTTACTTGGATATTACCTTAAGTAGAATGTATAAATTTTTAAATGAACAGTGTAAAATTTAGAAAATGATATGGGCTCTCTCCACGGTCCGCCGTCCAAGGATTAAATTCAATTTTTATTATATTACAAAGACGACTAATTAAAAAATTCTAATCAGTCTTAAAATAATACCTCAACAATTTCACAGGAGTACCAGTCCTATTTACTCAAGATTCGATGAATTTTCATAAATTTCCTCTCAATTACGAATTACGAATAGTTTCCGAAGAGATTCTGTTCACAAAGTGAAGAACCAGGATGATCTGCAGGGTCACTCTCCGAGATATCGAGATCAAAGATAGCCTCGGTCACATGCGTGCAACCGTTGTAAGGAACATGAGATCTTAACTGGTCGATCTCGTGACATATTCCGTTGGTCCCCCGTCCGTCCGTCCGTCTGTTCGACCGTTCGTTCCCTCGGTTCGTCCGTCGGTTTGTCCGTTCGTGTCGCGCAGCGGGTGCCATCACCAGTTATGCACCCTCGCATCCGTCAAAACGTTGACTCTTCTTTTATTACGCGACCAGCCGTGTTATAAATTTCGATGAACGATGAGCCGACCGTTCGGACGAAAAAGTCATTCCTACCTTTTCGAATAACCAATTACTTGTTCCGTGCGTGAAATTCCTGTCTTAGGATCGTTAACCCTTGTCTAGATGATCAAGTAATATTTACCAATTTTTATGGTATAAATAATTGCCCGTGTCAGGATTAATTAGACAAACACCACGGTTGATGAACTTGGAAAATTTATTAATTACATAAAAATTCTTCTCTGTTGCAGGTCTCGAATCGCAGGTCCAGGACTCGAAAGACCTCTACTGGTTCTAGAAGCGAGCTACGGAGTCTCGTGGACCGACCTAATTCGCAACATCCGGTGGGTGCATCCGCGAAATAATCACGAGCTCGATACCACTGAGCCGTTGTTGTACTTCGATCGAACAGCTTCTACGAACGAGCATTGCGTTCCGAGGAAAAGCATCAGCGGGAAAACGCTGAATGATCGAAGGACCATCGAGGAGCTTAGACGATGTAACGTGATATTAGCATGTTAGAGGATCCATGGGCTTTCTGGCAGAACGAGATCGAGGATAGTAGGAAGGAACTTTGTTATACGACCGGAAGAACGTACCGGGAGATCGTTCGTGCCGCGTCGAGCAAGTGTACATAGTGTTACCTAATTTACTTTAAGGGATCTACTATTAGAATACAACTCAGATAGTATTAGAGGAATACTTTGCGCGCACTATTACCTTCATAGTGACTGATTAATGTCTACCCGGCCTCTGAGAGAACGAAACCTCTGATTCTTAATAAAGTGTAGGGGATTAGGCCGATGATGGCGTGTCTAAATTTTCCAAATAATTCATTCAGATCGAATAACACGTATTCTTGTGCATCCACTTTGATCGTCCTCTTGGATAAATTAACAAAAATGAAAAAAATAAAATAAAATAGGAAGAAAGTCTATGTACCTTGATTGAATTTCATCCATCAGATGGAATGTAGTTTTATTCGTGACAATTAATAAATTTAATGGTTGTGATGATTGATTTATTGCAGATAAATGCAGGTCGAAGAGGAAGATCGAGGGAGGAGTAATTATTTGGTGGATTTAGCTGCAGATATAAGTGAAATATTTATTGACCAATGATCTTGCCATATATATATATTATAAATATATATATTACTATTATTAATTGTATCATAACACCGGGCGCTGCAGAAATTCTGAAACCTCTCCGAGTCAGCAAATTAAAAATAGTTACTATCCGAATTGTCACAATTATTCTTTATATCCTTTCCCTCAATAGAACCAGTCGACTGTCATAAACGCACACGCAACCACGCACGCGGATCGTCATTTTTCAATAGCGGACGATTAGTCTACCTTAAGCGCATCGTTATCCATCTCATGTTATCATCATCATAGGTGTTAAATAAATGATGCATTAACATTACACACCGTTGACTTTTTGTGGACTTCACTTTCACCTGATAAGATCTTGGCAGTTTGCATCTTCAACTACAAAGGTACGTGTCTATTTTATTTTATATCATATTCCTATTCCTATTTTATATCCCTATTATAATTTTTTACAATTTTAAAATAATAGACAGCAGAAGTGTGGGAGAACCCGAAAATATCTGTTTCTTTTATAGATTTGAAAAGAATGTCACATATTGCAGTGTTTATATTAACAAGTGTGCTAAGAATTCTTATTAGTATAATTCAATGATTTGAACGACAACTTTTTTTTAACCACAAAGGAAACGTGGCAAGTATTTAATTACTTACATTCGTCGAGAGATTACGAAATTTCAACAGGTTTCATTGAGCCTTTTCCCAAGTCCAATTATTTTCTACGGCGATTTCCTGCGTAAGTACTGTAAGAAACACGTGATATCCTGCCGCGTGGGCGGCGTATCCGCGTTTATATTAATAATACCGAGATTAGAAAGATAAACGTTGGAGTAACTAGAGTATATCTGGCCGAGAAAATAGAATTTTATGCTTTTGCGGTTCGTTACACCGCTGCTGGTTAATTACACCCCGGCGAATTTAGTGGCCTCGCTCACGCCGGAAAGTTAATCGAGCACGTAATAAGAGGAAGTAATGGGGAATTTAGTCTTCTGGAATTCTGCGTGAAACTTTCAGTTTCGTTAGACTCTTAAACTACCTTCGTTGCATTCAACACGTTCGGTCATTTTAATAAATTCTTTAGAATTCTTCACCGAAGATATTGACCTAATATCAAGATCAAAGATGAATATAATCAGGTAATAATCGTTCAAGTGTTTGTAGAAATGAATTACTAGAATCAACTAAATAAATGTAATATAGCTTTATAGCTTTAGAAAACAAAAAATTAAACGAAAGAATTTCATGTGTTGAGAGAATAATTTTTAAAAGAAGAATGTAAAATTTAGAAAATGAAAATAATATGGAAAGTTAAATTAAAATTGGGGCTCTCTCCATAGTCCGTCGTCAAAGGGTTAAAGAAAGTGTAGAAATCAAATCCTGATGATGGCCCTCATCAAAGGTCGAAACGTTTGTAACTAAAGATTGGAGAATAAAAAAAAAGATAATTAACAATGTCCATAGCTTCTTCTGTAAGAAAAATTAATATTTGAAAGAAAGAAGAAGTCAGTTTAAAAGACATCTGGTCAGATCGATGGTCGATTTCCTTTACACGTGCTCTGTTTTCTAGGTCGTAACGTTAACGAAATGAGAAAATGAGCCATTAACTTCGTCACCTAGGGGAAATTGGGTGGCAGGGATTTGGACGATCGTTTTTATCACGTGTAAAACACGTGTAGCCTGATTGGCTGTGGCACGAATGTAAATGGGGCGAAAGCTCGTACACGGATGGGCATGGTGGCGAGAAATTTTAACGAGATCTCTCGATGGCATACTTTTCATTATTTCCTATCATGTAAATGGGTTAATGGTGCTTCGTCCTCGAATAGTTTCAAAGAAAGAACAAACCGATCATTCCCATACAGTCGATCGAGTTGCATCAACAAAACGATTAACCAAACTGATTGGAATCTCCGCTTAATTGATCTGAATCTTAATCCGTTCATAATCGAACGCGAAACAACAGAATCCACTTATCCGGTTGTCAGGATACGATCGCTTTTCGCGCGACGCCTTAGAGCTATCATTCATTCCACCATCGTTAATTATAACCGTTTCGTAACTTGCTCCCGAGGACGTCGCGCGTCTCGATGCGTTGCGTTCGGTTGCCTCATAATCTCCGATCGACGTGGATTCCAATAAACGGTAGCCGCCAGTAAATCTACCGAATAATAAAATAAATCGTCGGACGTCGTGAAGGGGCTAGTTGCGATCTACGGATAAGGGGAAAGTCGAAGATATATCGGGGGAGGGGCCGAAAAAGGGGAGCCCCGAGAAGAGAGGGGAAGAATGGGAAATGGTGAGATTTATTGCGTTGACCGAGGTGTTCCATCTTGTTTTAATTACCGAGGTCGCGTTGCTCGCTTCGACCCTTTGTGTCCGTTCCTTCTTCCTTTTTTTCTTCTTTTCGTTTCGTATTCACCCGACACCGGGATAGATTAAAGACGCGAGCTTGAATTTGACCGCGATGTTTCTCGATGGGTCTTTTCCCCGACGTGAACAACGATCTTAACTGGTACTCGGATGCTATCGGTTTGTTCTTTATAGGATTGTATCCGATGAACATATGGGGAAATGCTTCTTTAATTATGTTAGCTTCGCGGAATGGGTTGTTTCGAGGAAGGAATCTCGGAAAAGTGTTTTCGGGTGTTCAGGTTATGATAAAGATAAACTTCCATTTTGTAATGTTGATAAGAAACTTTTTATTGTTAAAAGAACTATTAACTATAGGATACATGGCGGAAAATAAAATAATTAGTTCAGATTCATTTTGTCTTAAAAACACTAATGAAGGGCGTTTTTGTATGCAGTAACTTTTGTCTTTTAAGTTTCAAATTGAAGAACCATAAATGTCACTTAGTGGTACTTTTATGTCATGATTTTCTAACTTTCGAAACCAATTATTTGGTATTTGAAAGTTTGTATATAATTCATCACACATAAATAATGTAATTATTTACTGTAATTGAAACTCGCTTTTATGAAGTAATTTTCGTCAAATTTTAAGTTTCTAATTGATGTGCCATAAATGCCATTTCGTGGTACTTTTATGTCATGATTTTCGAACTTTCGAAACCAATTATTTGGTAGAGGTAAGTCTCGATTAATGCGAGTTCACATAGTGCGATATTCGATTTAGTGCGAATTTTAAAATGATACCAGGTCGTATGCAAGTTAACAGAGACTTGGATAAAATACTGTGGGTTTATCATCACATATACGAAGATATGAAAAAGCAGAAGAAAGTGCAATCAACACTGTTAAAATACTTTAAAAAATAATAAACATGTTTATGCTATTATAATTTAATAATATACGTATGAAAGGTATATTTCAAAATTTTGATCGTATATTTTCTTTAACTAAGAACCAATTCCTATATTTCAAGTATTCGAATAGTACGAATTCAAATAATGCGAACAATTTCCGGGATTTATTACTCGCACTAATCGAGACCTACCTGCATTTAAAAATTTGTATACATATAGTTCATCACTCATAAATAATGTGCCTTGTAATTGATACTCGCTTTTCGAAAACATCGTTTGCAACAAAAGGTTTAACACGTGTCTGACAATACCGTCGCGTTTTTTTCTCAGCTCTTCTCATGCTTGCATTGCAACGTGATATTCGCGTTTTCGTGGTTGCTCGTCGAAAGGACGGTGTCCCATAGGAGGATCGGTCTGTTTCCGATGTCTTAACCCCGCATTCCATAGTCTGAACGATAAGTACTTACGTGGGTCGTTGTTGGCCAAAGTGCATTTTGTCAGGCGAATAGCAGATAGGCCATCGTACCGTGTACATAAATCAGTCTGTTCTGTTTCTTCTGTCGCTGCGTATGATTTGTGTGTTTTGTTACGCAATCTTGCATATGCTGGCTAGACGTGGAAAAACCACGAGCAGGAAACCACGTGAGGACCACGTGAAGCAGAGTTCGAGAAACGGTGACAGACTTCCTGGGCTGTATTTCATTTTTTTTTTTTTACCTCCCCTTGGAATCCGATGGTTTCTAGAGTTGTCGATGCTGGGCATCGAAATTCTAATTATCTTTTATCATTCAAATACATGGTAATTAAGTATGTTTATGGGTCAAAATTGAATTATGAAATTACTACTGTGACAGCCTCACCTATCATTTTACATACCTTTCATCAGATATTAAAGAAAAATGTAAATTAATTATCAACATTTGATATAATATAGAAAAGGAACTTCGATTATTATTGCACAATGAAACATTAATTCTAATGTTTATAAATAGATCACTTTATTTAGTGTATCAGACAAGATCGTTTATAAATATTTATTTTCATTTCAAAAGAAACTCTCGAAGAAGAATTCGCTACAGTCAGCGAGAATATTAAACAATTTATAAGGAAACCACGGTACACTTGTACGTAGATCACCCCTCGATTCGCGGTAATTAAATACCGAGTGGCACCCCTGTGCAAGGGATACGAGTAGGGTCAGGTTATTGATATTGCACCAGGGGAACAAATGATCCGACCGTGAATATGAATATTAATATTACCTTACTAACCCTGTGTCCAGTGTGTCTCGCTCCCTTATTTGTCACCATTATAGATGATCCCTGAACAATTATACCGAATTATGCTTCTGTGGACCGTGACAACGAAGGTAATATGTAAATTGATTCATAAAATGATGCGTTAAAAATAATTCTTGTCTAAAGTTTAAGTATTCTTATAATATAATAACGTCGTTTGTATTATCGTATATTAAATATTGCTGGATAAATAATTCATACAAATTTTTATTGTGAGGATAATTTAGTTAATTATTACTATTAATAATTACTAAAATTTGGTAAATATTCTTTGAAACCCCTATTCTCTAAAAGATTGATTTATTAAGAAATAAATAAAGTTTGGTGCTCTAAGAAAAATTGAATAATATTCAGTTGACAATTTTTTTTCAAAAGCACTTAAATTCTATCGCAGAAGAATATTAGAATTTCGACGCTCAACATCGACAGTTCTAGAAACCAAAAAATTACCATAAATACTAATTTCCACTTAAAATTGAATAAATTATAAAAATCCACATAAGAACACCTCTTGTAAACTTATTGTTAGACTGCATGACTCTCTGGAACGCGATTGTAATTGAATGAG